TATTTTAAGCTTCTTTCGCTTCTTTCAGTCCGAAGGTTATGCTTTTCAACTTATTTATTTTTATTTGTCATTTATTTGCTGAAGAAATAGAGTCATTGGTCTTGGAGAGTTTCTTACAGTCTGGTTTTTGCTTATGGACCTCATGGTGTTTAACATGTTGCTCTGTCCTTTGTTTTTCCTGTAAACTGGCCATCTAGAAGCCTGATCAGATTCGGGTTTAATTTTTTTGGCAACTCTATTTCTTAGGTGTTCTTGAGTGAAGAAGCATAATGTTCGATGTTCTATCTTTTTTTGTGAATGCTAGAAATCTAGAGTGAAAATCTCTATAGTGTAATGTTTGATAAAACTGAACCACAGAATATTTCATGGCTTATTTTTTTTTTAAGTATGTCCTCTGCTGATCATTGAAACCAAACTCCTATAGAAGTCTGTAGACATTCAATCCTAGTAAGATAAAGCAATGCCTGGGGCATTAGTTTACAGCCATATGGGAAACTACTCATTACAGTGTGATGTTTAAATGTGGGCAAGTCACCACTCTCTTGGGGTGGGAGTGGGGGTGGATTTGGAGCTCAGCTGTTCTCTGGTGGTGCAAGAGCAGCCCCTTTGTTGTTAATCTCAAACAGAGGTCATGCTAAGTGCATCTGTTCTTGTCAAGAGCCATAGAGATACAGCCTCTGCCCTTTAGTTTGTTTCCTAAAAAGAAAGAAAAATAAAGGCAAGCAAATGACAATTGTTTTTAACTTCTAAGGTACCACAAGGATAAAGTATTCTACTAAATTATATATTAGGCCGGGTGTGGTGGCTCATGCCTGTAACCCCAGCACTTTGGGAGGCCAAGGTGGGTGGATTACCTGAGGTCAGGAGTTCAAGACCTGCCTGGCCTACATGGTGAAAACCCATCACTACTAAAAATACAAAAATTAGCTGGGCATGGTGGTGCCCACCTGTAGTCCCAGCTACTAGGGAGGCTGAGTTAGGAGAATTGCTGGAACTCAGGAGGTGGAGATTGCAGTGAGCTGAGATTGTTCAGCTGCACTCCAGCCTGGGCAACAGGGTGAGACTCTCAAAAAATTATCACCTACCTATCTATCCACCTATCATCTGATAGTGGCCTAAGTAATGAGAAGTTTGGGTATTTCCTAGATATTTGGTGATGTGTGATTAAAGATAGGCGAACACTAACCAGGAATATCTTTCCTAGGTGATATCCTCTTAGCCCTGCTAATAACTTGGCATTCCTGGTAGTGGAAGGGTTTGGATGACACAGGAGTATGGGGGACATCAGAATCTTGCTCTGAGAGAGTAGGCACTTTGATGAGAAATCCATTTGTGGCACTGACTTCCGAGTACTACCACATGCAACAACAAACTGTGTTGATCAGATCTTTATTTTAGAAGAGCTGCACACACAGACACATCCGGGCCAGTAAGACTTCTGATTGGTTTGCAGACTACATGAGCCTCCCCCACGGACAGGTGCCCTTGTCCACCTCTGCCTAGGTAGACCTAGTCCTTCCATTTGTCTTTCAATGAATACAGAACCTGTAACCTGAGTAACCTGAATTTTCTAGTCTCCTGAGTTCTCTATTTTCTTCATGTCTAAATAAATGCCTGAAGCCCCCATTTTTGGGGACTTTAAGAAGACCAAGTGCCTCTTCAGGGACTTCAAGGGTCCCACAGAGTTCTGAGGTTTCCAGGTATTGTCCCTCTCCAAACTGCTGCTAACCCTTTCTTGGGTCAACCCTGACTACTTCCATGATGCTCCAGCTCTGCCATGCCACAAACACAGACATAGGCAGAAGTTCAGTCTACCCTCAAGATTAACACATTGGCCAGGAGCAGCATTTTGGCTGTCAAAAGGGCTGCTCCAGCTGCCTCCCAAGACCACATTATCACCACTTTATAGGGCTGTATAAGGAGCTACTGTTTGCGATGACCGTTTAATCGATCCTCAGAGAGTTTATAGTGTCAAGTATTGATTTTAAAGACAGAAGCCAGGCAATGCTGTTATGCAGTGCATCTGCTCTGTTGCACCTTTAGTTAACCTTGTCTGTGCATGCCCAGAGAGTATGTGATGGACATGGGGGTAGAACCTGATTGGTGTGCCTTCTGCTCACCCATCATTGGTGCCGTCTGTAGCTGGACCCTCTGAGTGAGTTTTTCTCATTTAGAGGGAGCAGAGATTGCTGTTCAGTGGGTCTGTAGGGCACTTAGCTTCCAGGTCTTTGGTCTTCCCTGTGTCTGTGCCTTTATCTGCTTTTCTTATAAGGACCAGTTGTATTGGATTAGGGCCTCCCCATATGATCTCATTTTACCTTAATACCACTTTAAAGGCTAAGTCTCCAAATAAAGTCACATTCTGAAGTACTGGGGGGTTAGAACTTCAACATATGAATTTGGAGAGGGGACGTAATTCAGCCCATAACAGGGGGTGTGAGGTGGGGGTGGGGGTGCTTAATTGATGGTTTTCTTATGTCCAAATTGTCCCAGTTTGCCATGTTCTGAGAGGTTTAGCAAGGTGGTTCAGTTCAAAAGCAGCTTGAGGCAAAGCAGGATGGTTGATCACCCTATCAGGGTCCCATGGAGGGCACAGGGCAGGTGCTTTGTTTCCCAGACCATCTCAGCCAGAACTGCACCACTTCTCTCTGCTTATATGTCTACATGCTAATGAGATCAATTTAGCAAGAGTTTTGATTCAGTGGCCTCCAAGTTTCTCTCCTGCTGCCACATTCTGTGTTTTAATTTCTTTGAACACAGTGGAATTTGGTAGCTGGATTCAGACTAATTCAGCCATGTGTCTGAAACTAATAACTGACTGGAGCAAAACTCATTTAGTTTGTGGGTAAAAGTGACATAAAACAAAAAGGGGAAGTGTTTGTTAAGCCTCACCTGTTCTGAGGCAGATATTGTTGCTGTGCTGTCTGTGATGACAGATGATACTTACTGGGCTCCCATTATGCTTCCTAGATTCTGTTATCTTAATAGCTGCTCTGTGAAGTAGCTAGCAGCAGCTGCCCCATGATCCAGGTAGAGAAACTGAGGCTTACAAGATGAGTAACCAGTCCAAATCTCACACTGGCTGGGGCAGGGCCCCCAGCCTTTTGCAGGCAGTTTGGCTTGAGCACTGTTGCGTTCTGGTGCTAAGGCCAGATGCAGGTGTCCCTGCTGACGGGGAACAGGGGCCACATTGTAAGTGTAAGGTATTGACATTTAGGCTGATGGAGTCTCTCTTTGGTGCTTTCCCCAGCCTGTCTGGCCTTGACCAGCAAGCACCCCCAGCTGGTTCTACTTTTTGCTCTTATAAAAGCCAGGCTTGGTGCAGTGTTCTCAGGTCGTCAAGAGGTTTTGGGGATCTCGCAGTAAAGAATACTGAATCATACCATGACCAAGTTATTCCTTTGCTAATTAATTCTCTTTCAGGTCCTCTGATTACATCAAGGGAAAAGTTTTTGCCAGCATTTCATTCCTCTCCATCACTAAATGATCTCTCCCCTTTTAAGAAAAAGAGTAACCTTAGGCTGGAGCCCGGGGGCAGCAGTATCTGGCTGGACTTGAATAATTCTTTAGTGTTTTTAATCCTCTTTCTGCAGTTAATTTTGATATATGATAAATGATACCGGTTTTACATTTAGGATAATACTATAAAGTACCTTTAAAAGACATTTATTTAAGTGAAAAAGCAAATAATTTACAAGTATTTAGTAACAAATAGCACGATGATAGACAGATATGGCAAAAATGTGAAGCATGTGGTGAAAAAGATTGACTTTATAAAACATTGGATAGGAGGAAAGCTTGCAGTTCCTGAGAATCTTGGAACCAGCACATGAAAGGCAGGAGTTGTTTGACCAGCTGAGAATCACTGCCTCAGCCCATAGTAGGCTTTGCCTGGGCCCTTAGGGTCCTGTACTGGTTGTAGGCCCCTTTGTTGTTGTTTTTGTGTTTTGATCGTAATGGTGTTCAGTATTTTTGAAATACGGTCATCAGGGTAAAAAAAGAAGTGTGAATTTTTGTGCCTGGTTGAAAGGCTTTGCTTTGGGAGAATTCAGTGTAGAAAATAACTAGAATTAGAAGTGCAAATTGGAATGCCCCACCTGACTCAGCAGTGCTCACCCTGGGTGGACACTAAGCCACAGTGTGGGGAGTGGATATGGTCGCTCTTGTTTCTGGAGCCTGATTGTCCCTCCCCTGGGGTTTAGAAGCAGACCAGAGTTGGGATCTCTCACCCAGTCTGAGAGCAACTGAACTTGGAGAGGCTTTTTCATGGAATCAGTTTTGGGTGACTTTGCCTGCCACGCTTGCTGTTCATATTTAAACCCCAAATCGGTGTCCTTATTAAATAGAGAGTACGGCTAACTAAGGCAAAGTGAATTTGCTGCTCCTGGTTAACCCCTCAGTGTGATTCCCACACTAGGTATTACTGTATGGATAAGGTCTGAGTGTAGCTGTTTGCAGGCCCCAAGACCTTTGCAGCAATAGGTGTTTTACATTGACTGGTGTTTGGTACACGTACCAAACCTCGTCCTTAGCAGCCCAGACTTTGTACACAGATGTTGGGGATTAGCTTCCTGTGGCTATCAGGGAGCCCTCCTCAAGGTTACCACGACCTAGGGACGAAGGTTTTAGACTTAACAGTTTTCAGCCACTTTCCCTGGCAGCAGCCGCCATACAGCAGCCTATCATGACAACTGTCCAATTATGAACAGAACGTCCTCCTCAGCCGTTTTACTGTCTCCTGCAGTGTGTATATCATTTCCATTTTTAGAATCATGTTTTCAGGATGTCTCAGAGCCGTGTTACTCCTCCACGCTATCATTTATTACCATTTCTTAAGGAAGGTTCAAGTTCTTTTTTAAAAAAAATTATTTAAAATAGAGGAAGAAAATAAAAAATAACACAAGGTTGCTGGTTAATAAATAAAAATCTTTTTTTTTTCAAAAGTCCACTGCCCCCAGTTCTGTGATCTGTTGCACATAACAAATTTTTCTCCTTACCAGGAAACATCTGTATGGATTATTTCACTATAATCCTATGATGCTTGGACTTGAATCACTTCCAGATCCCACGGACACCTGGGAAATTATAGAGACCATTGGTAAAGGTACCTATGGCAAGGTCTACAAGGTAACTAACAAGAGAGATGGGAGCCTGGCTGCAGTGAAAATTCTGGATCCAATCAGTGTAAGTAACAGTTGTAAATTGTAACCAAAATTTGGTGTTTATGCACACAGAGTTTTCAACTCCTTTTCTTGATTTTAGGCTTAATTTTCATGGAACCTGGCATGAAATCTCAAAATGGGTCATGATTTATCAGCTTTAGTGAATGAAGTGACTCCAGTTGGTGTTAAAACTTCCCTTGACTTTTGTTTCTTGTCCATTTTATTGTTGTGTTGGTTTGGGACCATGGAGATCTTCAGAAGTTATTCTCTTGGAAAGAGTAATATATCTTAAAACCTGATCTTTCTGTAAGTTACAAAGTGACCCAGATTTGTGATATTCAATCATCTTAGGCTGACATCTTATTTTAGAGCACTGAGCTTATGCTGTATGCTGTTTTTGCACAGTGAGGTTTTACATGTCTTATCCTGTGTTTGGTCCCTTCAAGCAACTTCACCTTGACTGCTTTGAAAATTCAGACACTTTTCAATAAAAAAGATATTTGTTATAGTATTACTAAAGAAAAAAAGAATATCGCAAACATTGATGTAATATGCAATAATAGAAGGTGTAGATTGTAATAATAGAATGTAATAATGTACTAATAAAAGGTGTAGATTGATGTCTGAATGTCTATTGTTAGGTATTTTGAAGACATGATAATGACATTGAAAATCCACAGTAAGAGGCCGGGCGCGGTGGCTCAAGCCTGTAATCCCAGCACTTTGGGAGGCCGAGGCGGGTGGATCACGAGGTCAAGAGATCGAGACCATCCAGGTCAACATGGTGAAACCCCGTCTCTACTAAAGATACAAAAATTTAGCTGGGCATGGTGGCGCGTGCCTGTAATCCCAGCTACTCAGGAGGCTGAGGCAGGAGAATTGCCTGAACCCAGGAGGCGGAGGTTGCGGTGAGCCGAGATCGCGCCATTGCACTCCAGCCTGGGAAACAAGAGCAAAACCCCGCCTCAAAAAAAAAAAAAAAAAGAAAATCCACAGTAAATATGTTTTATTAAATATTTGAGCATGATGTCATATCTGTACCCTTCCTTACTTATTAGAGTTAATCCAGCTTTCATTTTTCTACACTGCTTAGGACATGGATGAAGAAATTGAAGCAGAATACAACATTTTGCAGTTCCTTCCTAATCATCCCAATGTTGTCAAGTTTTATGGGATGTTTTACAAAGCGGATCACTGTGTAGGGGGACAGCTGTGGCTGGTCCTGGAGGTAAGAGGCTCCCATTGGGTAACCAGTGATTTGAACATAGTGCCAGGGGCCAACAGATGCTTTATTACCTTGAGGGTGTTTTAAGGCACACATTTGAAGTGTAGGTCCCCCATGCATATCACAGGTACCTCACCAGATGTGATATTCTCCCCCACAGTTCTTACAGGTAGGCCATATGCTAAAAATATTCTTGTTTCTCTGCTTCAGAGGTTTAATCATCTTTTATTCTAGTACAGGGTGAATATAGGAATACAACTGAAAAAATTAATTTTCTTCCCTAACACTTAATTGTAAACATGTCTGAATTGATTGCAACTCATTTTGAAAAATTGTTAACCCAAGGTTTACTTGGCTTGCCAAGCTTGGATTTGCCCATTCTTGTTCATCAGTCCTCATTGTAGATTGAGTTTCCAGAAAACTGACTTTGAGAATTGTGTGTGGAAAATTTGCTGGAGAGTTCTTCCCAGAGACAGACCCAGAAAAAAGTGAGGAAGGCAGGATCAGGCGAGGGAGACACTGAACAGCAATATGGTTATAACAGAGAGTTAAGCTGGTCCTCTGGGAAATGGAGAGCTGGGAAGTTTTTGGAATGTTGTCCTGAACTGTATCTCCACAGCAGCCAGTCATTAGCTGCATGCCACCCTTGGGAAGGAGCATAACTGTGGGAGTCTGTTCTCTGAAGTGGAAGCAAACTCCGGGGAGGGGTGCAGGTGAGGGCTGGGAGCTGGTGATATTTCTAGCAGCTTCCACTCTGAAGAGGGAATCTGAAGGGAACATCACTGTATCCACTACAGTCCTGCTTTTTTTTTTTTTTTAATCCAACAAACCTTACATACGCAATTCTCAGAGTCAGTTTTCAATTATGAATGGGAATAATGTGTGCATCTGGATGCAAAAGCGTCAGTTCCCCACAGATACAATTCCCTATGAGACTAAAATGACAGGGAAAATAATGATGATGTATGAATGAATGGATGAGGACAGGTCTATTGCTGCATTCTTACTAGGCCTAGTGAGTGTTTTGTTCTGGGCTCTGACCTTCTGAACCAACTCATGCCTCCATGCCTGAGGTCACATAGTTGACCCAGCAATGTGTGGACGCAAGTGGAAGCCCTAAGGAAGAAGCACCAGGAGAGAAACCAGCCCTCATTTCACTGTCTGATACCTCTTGTCCACATGTTTCTGGCTTTGGGAGGGCCTGAGCCTGGGATACTATGTACTGGCTGCCATGGCAACTGTGTTTGGGGAATTCATTTGTTATATTCAAATGGGATAATCTGCAGGGAAACTGGTTTGAATTTATTTCTGTCACATCAGTTGCCTTCCTCAGAATTTAAAGATGTAAGGGATTTTGGTTTTCTAATTATCTTTGTTCCTTTAGTTGACTGGTCAAGTCATATAACACACTTCTTTGGGGTTTTATTAACTCCCCAACCCCCACCCCAAGAATGTTAGGATTTTATCCTGCCAATGAAGCTCTTTAAAAATGCTATTTGGAAATGGCAAAGTACTGTTTCTGAGGTCTCTGATTATATTTGTCTTCAGCTCTATAAGATCTCTGTGTTTCAGACTTCAGTGTAACTTCCTATTAGAAGTACAGCGACCAAGGAACCTTAGTTTCTGCTCATTTTTGACTCCTGACTAAAAAAGACTCTGCATCAGATGTAGAGAACTGAAACTTCCAGGAATTTTTGAGGGCCCAAAAAGGAGCCTTCCCTCCATGCAACCAGGCAGGCAGGTGGGCTGCTCATACCTGAGGCCACCTGGTGAATGAATGTCCTTCCTGATGAGAGTGACCATCAGGCATGGTACCTCAGGTATGGCCAAAGCAGCCAGGAAGGTTGCACATGGCCTTGAAAGATGGGAAGGAGCCCAGAACTATGAGCGGAACCTTGTGCAGATGCTCCCTTGCCAACTGTCTCTAGTTTTTTCAGAGTGACCACAGGTAGATAATGGGGCTGCCCTGAGACACTGAATTATTCATACCTCTGCAATACAATATGCTGTCATTTATGATTTTTGCTGGTTGTTTTGGTCCATGCCAAAGTTGGTGATATGAGATGCTGGGTATCCTCAGTCGTTTCTGTCCCAGGATGGACAGTCTAAACCAGGCTGCTGGATGATCATGTGCAGTCAGTGTCTCCAGTAGTCTTAGAGAAGCACGGGAATTTCTAGTCTACTAATACTGGCAGAAGCCTCTCTGTTCAGTCCCCTAGCCTTCAGATGGCGGGCAGAGGCCCAGAGAGGTGAGTAACATGCCTATGGTCACATAATTGGTTGCATGGCAGAACTGGAAGGAAAAGCACATTTCAGCACACATTTTCTTTCATCACGTGCAGCTGCTCCTGTGATGCTATCCATTGGTCATGGAAACACAGATGTGAAGTCTCTAGCTGGGATCGCAGCACTTCCTGACCACACACACACACACACACACACACACACACACGTGGATGACAACAGTCCACACAGTACCCTATTTTGCTCCCTCTGCAGCTTTAAAGGCCTGCTTTACGGGACTTGCATACAAAACATTATGATCTGTTTAATATTGTTCTCCTCATCTTGCATATGAAGATGAAATTTATGTTGCCGTTGCTCTTTGTTTGCCTGACTCGATGAAAGGACCAGTGAAAAGCTATTCCACAGAGCAATTCTAGAGGATAGAAAAATGTTATTAATAATCTCCTTAAATCACCACTACTCTGAAAACAAAAGCAAATTAAAAATGTCATTTTCTGAAATTCATTACTGATTGTTAGTAGAAAGCAAACAAACGCTCTCTTTCATGATAGACACCTACTATATTGGAAAGACGTGGAGAGAAAACATGTATACATAATAGTGTTTTGGAAAATCTGAATGCATTTTAAGTGAATTTTTTTTAAATGTATAAGTCCTATTGTCTTTCACCTAAATGGTATACATATGATAAGAAATTAGACTTTTAAGAAAAACACAATACTCAGAAAAAATACCTAACATGTGGTAGCTAAGCCATGAACTATATATTCTTTTTCCTTTTAGTGTAAAACCTTTGGCAAATAGAACCTGGATTTCAGCATGAATCAAGTGTTCTGCTTAAAATAAATGATTTAGAATGCTGGTAAATGAGGCTGGAAAGTAAAACAAATAAACATCTTTGTTCTTTAAACCATGTATAAGATTAGTTTGACATCTTTTTTTCCTTTCAGAGATCTAGGTGTAAGTTCAGTATCTAATATATAGAGCCAAAGCAAAAGGGGTCTAGGGAGAGAGGGAGGGAGGGAGGGAAGAGGAAGAAGAGGGAGTGGAGAGGGAGAGAGAGAGGGAGGGGGACCAACCTTTGTCCAGGTTTTGCTTTTATCCAAGGCCCCAGAAAGTATAGTCTAGACCTGAATATCACTGCAAGTGTTATACATCGAACCACTTTCACCTGTTGATACTGTGGCGTGAAGTATCATGGCATGAAGTATCAGATAAAACCTGAAGTTTATCAGGTTAACAAATCAGGATCGTAGTCAGACTCCGATGGACTCAAACATAGGACTGGTGGATTTTGATTGGCCAGAAGTGGTTAGAAAGCACTGCAACATTTAACACTGACTCAGACAGTGGGTTCTAGAGTGAGAGACATTGGAATGCTGGAAGCCAGGATGAAGGCACAGAAAACTTGAGACTGGAGAAGGGAAAGACTTTGAAATGGAACAGCTCTGCATCCTACATACATATACTATATGTGTTCAGCGAAAGAGAAGGAGTTAAGAGGCTGAGGCATGGGAGCGATTCTGCCCACTCTTGGCTCTTTTAATAAGGATGTGCCCTGGAGAGAGACTGAGATGGGAGGTGAGTCTCAGGGCCCACTTCCCTCTCGTTGCATAAGCATCTCTCTACTCTGATAGAAGCTCTAGGGTTTCAAGTAACATAGTTTTCATTGGTCTTATGGCAAGCCGGTGACGTCAGCTGGCTTTCAGTAAAATAAACATGATTTGTCCAACACAGGAGAAAAAAATGTGCTGTTTGGGAACTGCTGAGAGGTGGACAGTGGCCAACATGATCCTTCCTGAAGGATTTTCTAGAGTAACTTTGACTATCTTTGACTTTTCCTTTATGTTATCTGTAGAATCCAATACCCTTAAAAGACAAAGTCTACTGAACAAAAGGGCACCAAAAAGAAATTCCTCTTAATTCTGCAAACTGACTAGGTCAACACAACATGCTGGTATAGAATCTACTTGAATGTTGGAGCCCAGGTCTGGTGATTGTGTTGCATGGGCCATTCTTTAATAATGTGGAAGAAAGTTGATGGCTTATTGAGCAAGGAACATTTTATTGCTTGAAATTATGGCTGTCTTAGCAAATGCACATACTGTGATTGAATCAATATTCAACGATGTTTTGGAAAATAGATGTGGAATGATTTTTCTATTTTTCTTGGTTTGGAGAAAAATGCTCATTAAATTCTAGATGCATTCAGCTGCCACATTTCCTGAATGCTGAGGGCATAGGGAGGAACTGCAGGGATGGAAATACACCTCTGTTTTTGAATCTGGTGGCTGGCAGAGTGGGCGGCAATAAAGGGCTGATGTGACAACCCTCTGGGTTGGGGTGGGAGGCTTGGTTGCCTTCTTACAATTCTAAGGGGATTATTTTATTTGGTGCATTTAAATATAATTCTTCATCGTGCTTTTAAAATGTTCAACCCATTTCACTGAACATTTATTCTGATTAGACAATTGTCAGTATACACCTGCTTTCTTTTTTTATATCCAAGTGCCCAGAGTCTTTTTTCTGTAACCCATAGGCTGCCCTTGAAAACCTTGCTGTGGGGCTTATCAGCTTCACAGGACAGCTTCTTTTAAAGGTGTCCTGAACAGTTTAATTACCTGTGAGTTCTGGGAAGTCAGACAGCTCTAATTCTCTGACATTTCGTGAACAAAAAGCACCGGCTGAGTAAGATTCCTTTGTTGTTTTTAAATCCATAGCTGTGTTTTGATCCTGCTGACAAATAGCTACTCTTA